TGACCTGAGTTCTAAGGGTACTACTATGCCAGTCCACATCTCCGTGCTCCCTTCTCTTCTGAGCTCAGCAAAACGCTCCTGCACAAAGCCAACCTCCTCACATACTGTCTCCCAAAGAACTGACAACCTATATGGATTAGTGATCCTGACACTGTCTTTCTACAAAAGCAGCCTACCCACAATTCCATTTTTGTTGAGGCTTCTCAATCTTGCTCTCAATATCAACAAAACCTTATTCCACCAAATAAGGACAGTCAGGGCATCAACTCCATGGGCCGCTGGCTCTATTCTTATGCAGCCTTTACAATAAAAGTTGCTAACTATCAAGGGGCCATGGGTACATATCAGTGCTTCTTATGGAACAACATGTCTTCCAAAATTGAAGCCCTGCCTGAAGATCCTGCCACAAGGTTCCCAAAAGGAAGGACTTTTGGTTGCTAAACAACAAATGCTTGCAGCACATTGTTGATGTTACCTCTAAATCTATGGCTACCTTATTTGCACTTAGCTGCTTCTCGTGGCTTAGGACAGCAGGCCTTGCAGAAGATGCTTGTGCCCTCATTGAAGACCTTCCCTTCAACAATGCGGGTTTGTTCAATGCTGAGACTGATGGTATTTTAGAAAATGTACAAAAGAAGTGGATAGCTGCAAGGTGCTGGGGAGTTTACCCTACATACCAACAACATTTACAACATTGTCCCTACACCTCCTACCAGAAGTTCCATCAGGAACCACAGAGGCAAATGATCACTGCCCCTTACTATAAGCAGCAAACTTTCCATCCCCAAAACCACAACAACAAAACACTATCAGGCGCCATGATCGCAAGTCCAAGCATCATGTTTGACATCCCATTGGCCAAGATCTTGCTACCACCTCCCATCCACCAACCGGATCCCCCTGCTCTATGGTGACACCTGCGTGGAGAAACATCGCCATGGATGCCTGGGTCTTGTCCATCATCAAACAAGAGTACCATATAGAATTGCACCCGTTCCTTCCTCTGTCTCACGCCGCCACACCTCTGTTGGTAGCCCTGCAGGAAGAGATACATACCTTTATTACTCAAGGACACAACAGAACTGGTGCCATCCCACAACACCATTCAAGGTTTTTTCTCTTGCTGTTTCACCGTCCCCAAAAAGGACAGAGGCCTCCGCCCAGTTCTAGATCTCAGGCATGTGAATCAGTACATTACCACCACCAGGTTTCAAATGGTTGCCCTTGTCCATTTCCCCTCTACTGCAAAAGAAAACTGGTTTGCAGTTATTGATACATGAGGTCTACTTCCACATTTCCATCCATCCACCCCATAGGCCTTACCTCAATTTCCTGCTCAGAGGTAAAGCCTATTAGTTCAAAAGGTTACCATTCACCCTGGCTACAGCACCCTGGTTGTTTACCAAATGCATGGGCCCTGTAACAAGGCATCCAAATTTTCCCATACATCAGCAACCAGCTTCTAGTTGCACACACTCACCACAAAGCTCAGTGCAATGTACATTTCACATGACTCCATCAAGAGCTCAGCCTCATTGTGAACTTAGAAAAGTCTACTCTTATTCTAACCAGATGCATCCACTATATTGACACCTGCTTAAGTTCTGACAAAGCTCAAGTGCTTATCCTGGAGGACAGACATCTCAAGTTGATTCCTCTTCTCAATGCTTTCACTCTTCATGCAGTGATGCTTGCATTGAGAGTTCACTGTGTCCTTAGCATTATGGCCTCAATGACTTTGGTAGTCCAACACACCCGCCTGAAAATGAGATTTTTAAGGCATGTTTTCTTGCTGTTTGACCCTTTCTCTGACCCGCCACATACTCTCCTGCGAGTCATCCCAGAACTTGCCACCAAGCTTGATTGGTGGTCCTTCAAACAAAACCTGGCAATGGGCAGACTTTTCCAACAACCATGTCCATGCACACAGGTCACTACAGATGCTAGTCTAACAGGCTGGGGGCCTCACTGCAGATCCTTTCAGATCCACACCCAGTGGTGGCAGAGACAAACGACTCTACATCAGTGAGGTGGAGCTCCTGGCCATTATCAAAGCCTGCAAGGCCTCCTGGAACTGCCTTTATGGCAAAAATGATACAGATCACCAAAGACAACCCTACAGCAACATTATATTTTCAAACAAGGCAGTACTGATTCCCTAAGCCTCTTGTACCTTGCAGTGGACCTATGAGAGTGGTGGCTGTCCCACCACATTTGCCTTACGGCAGTCCATGTCAAGACAACAACCTTGCAGATCTACTCAGTTACATGGAATACCAGGCTAATGAGTGGGAACTGGACCAAACAGTTTTTCCTGCCCTCTGTACTCATTGGGGGGGGGACACCCAAAATCAACCTCTTTGCTTTCAGAGCGAATTGGAAGTGCCAGCACTATTGTTCTCACATGGATATTGGTAACAACTCCCTAGGCGACACCTTTGTCAGACATTGGCCCAAGTCACTCACTCACCTGTTCCCACCATTTCTGAAGTACAGTGGGGTCTTGACTTAAGAACAGCTTGAGTTAAGAACATTTTGACTTAAGAACCGCTCTCATAGGAAAATACTGACTTGACTTAAGTACTTAGATTTGAGTTAAGAACTGAAAAAAACCCACGTGGGAGGCAGGGAAAGTGCAAAAAGTGAACTTTCAGTTAACTGTTGGCCAGTGAAAAGGGTGCCTGTCTGCTTCCTCACTCCTCCCAGCGTTTAGAGAGTGGATTGGGAGACAGTCTTCAGACTGCCTGGTACTGTCCTGCCTGGACTGTACGTATTTTCCCTGCCTTCCCTGAAATTTCTTGACCTAAGAAAAAAAGAAACAAAATATCCCCCTCTAGTGGTCGAAGGCGGAATAGCAACTTCCCATTAGTTTCTATGGACGGAAAAGAGCAGATACGGATCAAATGGTTTTCAATGCACTCCTATGGGAAATGCAGATGTGACTTGAGAACCGCCTTCCAATACGGATTAAGTTCTCAAGTCAAGACCCCACTGTACAGTATTCATGGCTGGGGTGGGAGCGTGACCTCCCAGAAAGGCAAATCCACAAGCAAGACATGCCCCCAGGCGGGGGGGGGGCAGAGATCCATGTCCGCGGCCCAATTCAAGGGTGCCTAGGGACCGGCACCGGGCTGCGGACCGGGGGTTGGGGACCCCTGCCCTATCTTATTCCTAGTAGTTTAAAAATAAAATATTAATAAAAAAAGAAAAAGTTTGTTCTTCACTTTGTGACCACGTCTCCAATTAATCCTTCTCTTCACATAGTTAAGCTGCGAGGGCTCTCTATCTCACTCAGGGTATATCTCTCCTCCATCGTCACACATCAGTTACCAACATCTTCAGCTTCTCAATTCTTTAAACATCCAACCCTCAAGTGCTTTTTTAAGGGGTTGACCTATATATACCCTGACGTCTTGTTTCCTTACCGCCTCAGAGGTCACTGACTTAAATACCCAGACACCTCGTACAAGCCCCCTTTGAGCCCCTGGCATCTATGGATTTACGCCTTTTAACATTTAAGATTTGTGTTCCTCATGGCAGTTAGCTGCACACGACGGGCCAGTGAGCTAGCAACTCCACTCCGACTATCCCTACCTTCAGTTCCACCCTGACAAGGTTCATCTCTTCATGGACATTTCATTCTTTCTGAAGGTGATCTCCCAGTTTCACCTCTGTCAGCCTATTGTCCTTCCATCCTTCACATCCCCTTCCACTCCTCAGGAACGCATCCTTCACACTGTAGATGTCAGACGTGCTCTTGACTTCTGTGTGTCCTGCACTCAGCCTTTTTGACATCAAGTAACCAAAGATTCTTACTGGTATTGCCTTTCATGCTCCACCAGATTTGTCAGAAAGACCAAAACCTCCTTCTGGGCCCACTTCTTAGTACTTCAGACAGCCTGTCCAGAAATCTAAAAACAGGTCCACTGATACTTCAGAACCAGGATCCACAACCTTCCAAGTCTCCACCATCATAACACTATCCTACTAGCACTGTATATCAATACCTGGTGCACCATCAACAGCAATAACTAGGTCTTGAACATAGTCCAGTAGGAGTATACCATAGAGTTCACATCCTTCCCTCAATTTCTCTATACCATGGAGTTCACTATCCTTCCCTCAAAAGACAATTTCAGATTTACTTCACTATTATACATTTTACAAGAGGAGATAGTGATGCTTCTTCTGAAGGATGCCATACAGAGGGTCCTTATCAGTTCCCAGAATGATGATTTCTACTCCTGTTGCTTTACTGTCCCCAGAAAGGATAGGGGCTTGAGGCCCATCCTAGACCTGAGAGATGTGGATTCATATTTAGACACACAGAAATTCAGGATGGTGATTCTGGAGACAATGCTGCCACTTCTTGAACTGCAGTTCTCAGACGCCTTCACCACCAGCTGTGCTGGCCGAAGTTTCTGGGAGTTGCAGTCCGGGTGCACCTAGGTTATGAAGGTTGGGAACTACTGCTCTAGAGCAAGCATTCTCAACATTTTTTGGTCATAGCCATAAATACAATATGAAAGAAATGTAGGCTGAATCAGGATTGCATAAGTCACCTAGCAAACCTATAAGGTGGTGTATGAATAATTATTCCAGTTTCTGGCCCCCTTCAAATGTGCCTCCTTCCAAGGGACCATATGGCAGCTGTTGAGAATGGCTGCAGAGTATTCAGAGGCATAGAAGGAACCCATATGTGAATTCACGGATGGCCACTTGAAGAACTATAGTTACAGATCAGCAAATTGTTTTCCCAGACACAATAGTTCATATGAAACAATTACACATAAGTGGAATTTTGTTAGTGAGTCTCAATTAGCTGTGATTGTGACGTTGCATACAGAACAAATGAGTAATTAAGTTCTTTCAGATGCCAGTTGTATGTACTCAGATTCTTATTATTGGAATGTGTACACCACAGACATTTCCTCAAAAATTAGGATTTTCTCTACTGTTTGAGCTGTTTTCTCCTTTCAATTGTTGAATATTTTTGATAGACCAAACAAAGAAGAAAGCAAGAAACCGGAAGCTAAGAAGATAGAGAAAAAACGAGGTCAGTATTGCAAGCTTGTTTTCTGATTAAGCAGTGGGAATGGGATAATTTTTTACTGTTATTCAGTGAGTGTACTCTTGCTGAAGTGAACCCTAAAAGATACATAAACAAGTTTTGCTCTATGATGCTATGTTTTGTTCCCATATGTTTAAATCCAATTTTATCTTTCAAAGTGTTTCTTAGGGAGCTCACAATGTACAAAAATTTACATTGCTTTACAACAAGGGTGGGTGACTTCAGTAGTGTCAAGGGCTGTCTTTTAGATTGACCTTGGGCTATTTTCTAGTGTGACCTGAGTGGCTGGTTCGCATACTGTTTTGATAGTTTTCTAAGGTTAGTGTTTGTTGACTGAATGTAAGGAGGTTCTCCTCTGGCCGGGGGGGCGCTGGTGGTGTAGGCGGGAAAAAGAGTCGGAGGCTCATCATAAAATCCAACATTGGAAAGTTTATTGTTCACAAAGCTTAACTCTTTCGGATCAAACGGATCCTGCAACAAACAGTCATCTAACAGATGATACCTCTTCGCGCGCACATCAGGAGGCATCTCTTGAACACCTAATAGGGGGCCGGTCCGAACTTCTCTCGGTCGGTCATTGGGCGGAGGGGGGCACTCCGAACGGCACAAACCGTTCCGCAGCAAGGATGCCTTGCCCAGTCCCCTTCCAAGGGCTTCTTCTGATATTCGGCTCCAGGGCGTATTACCCTCCTCCCACCAGGGTAATTGCGGTGATGTACCGTCACCAGCCATTCCAGAGGCTCGTATGACTTCTCGGACCCCCGAGGGAAATTCGGATCTGGCAACAAACCTCCTCCAGTTGCCAGATTAGGGAAACCGGCTGCAGCTCCAACAGGAGTCTCAAACCCAAGCATGGGTTCCGTCTGAACCCCTCGGTTCTTACTCCTCTCTATATTCGCGTCGGTGCAGATTCTAAAAGCCCGCTCGTTTTCCTCTCCTTTTATCTCCTCCCAGACTATCAAATCTAGCTCCTCCCCTCCTTCCTCTACCAGGCACACTTCCGTAGATTTTACTGGCACTACTTCAGTCTGTTCAATGTCAATCAGTATTCCTACTGCGCATGCCGCCTCTTCTACTGTATGGCTCTCCACGGAGGACGGCGCACTCCTCTTTTCTCCTTCACACTGAAAAGGGGTTTTGATTTTTAAAAACATTTTTAAACTGAAAAAGTCCTTTGTATTTTTAGTGGCACAATTTTTTTGAAGATTTTTTCGGGGAATAAGAATCCCAAAAGATGTTGAGGATTCTTCAAAGTGTGACAGAATTGCCACATATGCCCCTGGAAAAAGAAACCAGGAAGTGTCTTAGAGTTCCTAGGCCAGTGGTGGCGAACCTTTTTGGGCTCGTTTGCCCAAACTGGGGAAAAACAAAACCAAAAAACAGTGGATGGTGTGCTGCTGCCACTGTCGGAGGACCAGAACCAGAAGTGGCGGCGGAAGGAGGAATCCTGGCATGGAGGTGCCTCAAGGCCCCTCCGCTGCCAGCACCAGTTGCTCCGGATCCGCCTGCCGAAGCACCAGCTCCAGCCACCTCCTGAGGTTTGGCTGCGCGGAGGGAGGGGGAGTAGCCATCTGGCGACCTGTGGCTGATGTGCGGGCAGAAAGGGCTCTGCATGCCAGCTGTGGCACGCATACCATAGGTTTGCCATCGCTGTCCTAGGCTATAGAGAGGAAAGCAGACCAGAGATTTCCCCTGCACTGTTCACATGTTATAGTAAACGATTTAAGGTTAATTGATTTCTTAGGTGCTTCTAGAAGTGGGAGTAGTTGGGGAGAGTGAGGACTCCCATGGATCTGTGCTTCATGATGTGCAAACAGAGCCTATATGTAGGCGTGTGCCAGTAATACAAAGCTGCATTTTTATAGCAAGAAGTTCTACTTTAAAAATAGTTGTTTTTCACACAGAAAAAGCAGTTCACATCTGTATTTCAGCCTTGGATATCATGAAACTAACATTCAAATAATGCACTTAAATTATTACTCATTGGGTTACTTAATTTGTTTTGATTTTGTTTTGTTTTTTACACCAGATGTTTTATGCTCTGTGTCAAGAAACAGGAAAATAGAGGGATGATGGTTTAAGTTGCCCTTTGACATACAGGCCTATTAGCTTGTACCTGGAATGAGCAGGTCAGAAGAGGAAGAAGAAATTGCCCATTAACTGGAAAGTTCTGCCAGCTGTGTCTTATCTCTTTGAGAAGGAATTTCAAAGAACTCACTCCTGGTTCTGTCTACACAATTAACAAAACTGATTTCAGCTGAAAAGAAGGGAGAGGGGGAGAGTGTGAAGTTACTGTATAAGACGCACTTTTTCCCCACAAAACAGGGGGGGTGGAAAGTCTGTGCGTCTTATGGAGCGAAGAAAACAGATTATATTTTCCTGTTTTCTTCTAAAAAATTGGTGCGTCTTATGGAAAGGTGCGTCTTACGTAGCGAAAAATACGGTCTTATGGAGCGAAAAATACGGTACTTTGGAGAAGTTCTCTTCTTTGAGAAGGCTCAGGGACAATTTGAGGCCTGATCAATGCATTCTCTTAAAGGGTCTAGAAAGTAGAATGATAGGTATGAAAATGGAAAGGGAGTTTAGTTAGTTTATCCCAGTCTCTCTTAGGAGAATGCTTTGCTACCTGATTTATACTCTGTATATGCTTTGGAACCATGCTGAAGTTCTGCTTGAATGTATTAGCTTAGGATACTTAAATTTCTTATTTTCTTGTGGAAACTGTTCTGGAATTGCCTTTTCTTAAAGTCTTTTTGCATGCCTATTTCCTATGCAACTTTGTGACTGCTTTTTAGAATTTTGAAACTATCTTTTGAAACTTTTTGACTTCTTTTGGCAACATCTTCAATAAAATAATAAATTTTTGTAGCAGTTTGTTTAGTTTGAGAATAAAAGAGGACTGTTGGCACCAAAGAAGTGCCTTGGTCACTTAATGGACATTTTACATTTTGCGGGTATCTTGGTATTGCTACCTAACAGTGTTGACATACATGTTTAAACACTTAACCTTTTGAAATTTGGGTAACTCCCTGGAACGCTGAGTGGTCAGAGTGACTCAAGGTGTGGGGATAACTAACAGGCAGGAAGATTTCCCCTAGCAATTAGTACATCTGGCCTTCCTGGAATTTACACATACCAGAAAAGTCTGGGCAATGTGGCTGAGTTAAGGCTTCTCTGACCTGGCCATATTTTATCATTTTGTTGTCTAGCACCTTAAAACTAGCAAGTTTCTTTTGATGGACCACAATCCACTTCATCAAATGCATCTGATGGAGCATGCATTAGTTCACAAATAAAACTGCTGGTCCTTATGTTGCCAAAAGGCTTTGTATTTCGCTGCAGGAGACTAATGTGGCTAGCTCCCTAGAAAATGTCATTCTTTTTTTTTGTTTTAATATTTAGAAACTTCAATGGATTCTCGACTGCAAAGGATACATGCAGAAATAAAAAACTCACTTCAAATTGACCATCTTGTAAGTGCGTTGTATTATATGTATGGTGCATTGTGTTATCCATGTCTTCTTTGAAACAAGAAAGAAGTACGTTTCTTAGTCGTGCTTTTCTCCTAAATAGCATTGTGTCCTGCTGATATCACCTTGCAAAGTTCAAAGCGTATTTTAAATTTTGCAGTGTGAACTAATGTGCCTTTTAATTTTCACCCCTGCTGGGTGGGGCTCCACCTGTTGTGTGTGACTTCATCCTTGTGTGCACATGTGACTCTGCCCCCTCCAGATGCGCAGAATTCCATCACGACCGGAACCAGAGGGGTTGAACACAATTGCTGCACAGTGGAGGAAGAGAGCTCCGTGAAAGGAGGCAGAGTCGCGCTCACACATGTGCATACAGGTTCAGAGGGAACCTTGGTGTGGACTGAATAAAACTAGACATTTTGCTTCAAATTATGCCTGGCAAATATGCAAAGATCTGTGACTTATGGACATAATTTGGATTACCTATTAAACAGGAGTCAAAAATCTGTTAAGAGTTAGCACCAAGCTTTCTTTAAATACATTTGGATGCTAGTTAGTAGATAACCTCTGGATGGTTGGTTTTTACTTTAAAAACCTAATCCTTTTCAGATGGTGATCTTTGTAAATAGACCAGGCTTTCTTAGAGGAGACATTCTTAAATGAGAAGGCTGACCATGCTCAAAGTAGACTGCTCCCAGGTGTCTAATATTTTTGGTAGACCTGATATTTGAAAAAAATGTCAAGGCAAGTTGGTCTGCAATGTGTATTTGTATGTACAGTGGTGCCTCGCTTAACGATGTTAATTGGTTCCCAAAAAAACATCGCTATGGGAAAACATCGCTAAGTGAAACACCATTTCCCATAGGAATGCATTGAAAACCGGTTAATCTGTTCCAATGGGAACGGATTACCGTCCTTAAGCGAAAATCGCCATAGGAAACATTGCTAAGCGAAACAATGTTTCCCCCATCGGAATGCATTGAAGCCTATTCAATGCATTCCAATGGTTTTGCAATGTCCATTTTCGCTATTTTTAAAGCATCTTAAAATGTTCAAAAACTGTTTTAAATGCTTGGAATAGTTAGGGCACCTTGTAAAACCTTTGCAAACTTAATTTGGCTTTGTTCTGACTCTTCGTTAATTTTTGGTGAATTTTCCTCCCCATTGGAATGCATTGAACTGTCGGCTTACCAGCTGTCAAACCGACAGTTCAATGCATTCCAGTGGGGGGAGAAATTCACCAGAAATTAACGAAGAGTCAGAACAAAGCCAAATTAAGTTTGCAAAGGTTTTACAAGGTGCACTAACGATCCCAAGCATTTAAAACAGTTTTTGAACATTTTAAGACAATTTAAAAATAGCGAAAACAGAACATCGCTAAGCGAAACAGTGGACCTAAACTGTCATTGCTTAGCGAGGCAAGGTCCCAAACATCGCTATGCAAAATTTCCCCATAGGGAACATCGCTAAACGGAGCGCAAAATCGCTCCAAAAACCTCATCGCTAAGCGAATACATTGTTAAACGAGGCAATCGCTAAGCGAGGCACCACTGTATCTCTGCTCCAGGCTTGAGTAGAGTGGGTAAACATTACGACCAAAAATCCATGATATTTGGAAGAAGACAACTAAAATTTAAACATGCTTTTTTTCGGCTGGATTGAATAAAAACTAAAATTAGTTATGTAAATTTAGATTGACTATTAGAGTGAAATTATGGGACATGGTGGTGCTGCAGGTTAAACCGCAAAGCCTCTGGGCTGCAAGGTCGAAAGATCAGCAGTTCGAATCCACGTGACAGAGTGAGCTCCTGTCACTTGTCCCAGCTACTGCCAACCTAGCAGTTTGAAAGCATGTAAAAATGTGAGTAGATAAATAGGTACCACCATGGTGGGAAGGTAACAGCATTCCCTGTTTAGTCACACTGGCCACGTGACCATGGAAACTTTCTACGGACAAACTCTGGCTCTACAGCTTGGAAACGGGGATGAGCATTGCCCCCTAGAGTTGGACACGACTGGACAATTTGTCAGTGGGAACCTTTACTTTTTGTTCGACTGAAAATGCCAAATTCTACAGTAGAATACAGTGGTGCCCTGCATAGTGACGTTAATCCGTTCCGGATTAATCGTCGCTATCTGGAAACATCGCAATGCGGGAGGGAAGACCCCATAGAAATGCATTAAACTTGGTTTAATGCGTTCCTATGGGGCGAAAACTCACCGTTATGCGATGATCCTCCATAGCGCCGCCATTTTAGCCGCCTCGGTAAGCGAGGGCAGCGGCGAAAATGGTTGCGGCGGCCATTTTGGAACCGCCAATCAACTGTGTGAAAATGGGGCCTTTGGGAAAGCCCCCATTTTCACACAGCCGGCCGAAGCACTTCGGAGCGGCCGCAGGGAAGCCCTCCCCCACCGCCGTTCCGAAGCGTTGGCCGCAAAAATGCCGGAAATGGGGGTGAGGGGTTGGGAGGAGGGCCGCTGGGAACACCCGAGCCTTGCCCTCCTCCCGGCTTTCCCCAAGCCACCCCTCACCCCCGTCTCCGTTGCTGCTTCTGGGCTTTGGAAGCCGCTTCCAAAGCCCAGCGGCGGCGGCGGGGACGG